CACCATCGAGTTCCTCGTTATTTCAAGGCGCTCCCAGCCCTCAGCGCTCCCGCCCGTGTCGCTCGCATCCGTCCTCTGTCGCCTGACTTCTGTGACTTACATTAGTCATTCTCAAACTTGACTTTCTCTGACGACAGACCTTGAGTCCAGAAAAGCACAGTAAGCGGAAGGCTTGGGAAGTCAGGGGTAGGAGACAGAGTCAGTGAAATAGGTACTGAGCAGGATGGCCATAGAAAGACGGGTGGTCTTGGAGGCTTGGACTTAGGGCGGTGGCCAAGGCGAACGGGCGGGGCCATGATCGCATTAGCCCTGGAAGCGGCCTAGAGCAAAGTGGAGACTCAAAGTGATAGTTCAGAGTAGTTAGCTGGGGCCATTTTTATGGCTGCAGCCTGGGGTGGGGTGGGGAGGGGGGAGCTGCAGGAGACAGGTGCCTCCTGCTGGGCGGCTCCTGGAGCTGGGGAGCGCTTGGGGTGGAGGCCTGCTGGCTGGTGGTATTGTGGAACAGGAGTGCAGTACGTATGATTCAAGACCTCTTGAAAAACTCAGGTCTTAGCCCCGAAGTGAGGGCTCAGTTTTTCCAATAAAATATCGACGGAGAGCTGAGATCAGAAGTCCGGTGGCTACAGGCTAAGGAAGGAGTGAGTGACAGGGAAGTAGGGACGCCAAGTACAGCCCACACTCTGGAGCTTTCATGGAAAGAAAAGCTGAAAGGTATAGTGATAACTGGAGGGTGTCTGGGATTTGAGGAGGGTTTGTTATTTTTTAAACAAAGAAGAAGCTTGAGTATGTTTATGCGTTCAGGGGGAAGACATTAGCAAGGGGGAGATGGAAAGTGTGTAGGAGCAAGAGGACCAGTATTGGAGCAAAGTCCAGATTCTGGAGCAAACGTGGGGAACAGACGTTAAGAACCCAGAAGTAGCCCCGCCGGGCGTGGCTCAGCGGTTGAGCATCGACCTAGGATCCAGGGGATCGCAGTTCGATCCCCAGTCAGGGCACATGCCCAGGTTGTGAGCTCGACCCCCAGTTGGGTTGTGCAGGAGGCAGCCAATCAATGATAACTCTCTCATCATTGATGTTTCTCTCTCTCTCTGAAATCAATAACGACGTATTTAGAAAGAACCCAGAAGTAGGAATCAGCTTAGAGGATAGGAAATGGGAGCGAGTTCGGGCATGCATAAAAGTTGTGCAGGGACAGCAAATCAGGGGTTCATTTTTCACTGTGTCAGTCTTCTTGGTAAAGGGTATAGTCAGGCCATTGACTGAGAATGAGCAGGGTGGAAGAGGACTTGTTAGTGTGCTGAAGGGTTGGAAATGGGATAAGAGTTCTTCAGAAACCACTCTAACTTGGCAAAGGAGTTCCCTTTGGGGCTTAAACACAGCCAGGGGTTACCTGTTCTCTCTCTCTCCGGAAACTAAGAGCATCTTCCAGGCAGCACATTCTGGGCAGGACCTGGCACTCCAAAGTGTCCCCTGACACTGGCAGCCTCCAAGGGACCCATGCCAGAAGAATGAAGGTGGAGAGTAGGGGAGACTGGAGAGGCCCTTAGAGAATAGATAGTTACTGTCTTGTTATTGGACCTAACGAAGAACTGAGGTCTGCATCAGGATTGAAACCCAGGTCTCCCAACTCCCAGACTATGCTTCTCTATACCTGCAAGTCTGCCAGTTCTTTTGGGTGGTAATGAAGAAATTGTCTTCAAAAGTAACAGCTAGGCCCTCAATTTGCTGAATTTAACAAATGTGTTGCTGCCCTGGCCAGTGTTGCTCAGTGGTTAGAGGGTCAGCCCACACATCAAAGGGTCATGTGTTCAGTTCCTGGTCAAGGGCATGTACCTGGGATGCAGGCTTGATCCTGGCCCTGGTTGAGGCGCATGGGTGAGGCAACCAATTGATGTGTGTCTCTCACATCAATGTTTCTCTCCACTCCCCTCTCTTTCTCTCCACACGTGCACCTGAGCGCGTGCACACACGCACACACACATACAACCAATTAGTTCTGTTTCTCTGAAGCACTCTGACTAATACAGTGACTTTGGCTATTTCCAAAAATGGAATTCCCCCATTATTGAAGCTTTTCCACCTCAGAGTAGATTCCAAGGATGTACCTTTGTCTCTGAAAACAATTTTTAAAAAGCCCATAAGGAACCACGGTAGTCCCATTGTAGAGAGTCCTGGACCCTCATTATAGGCAGGAAATTGGGATGGTTAGCAGGGAAATGAGACCCAAGTGCCCAGGACACTGAGCAGAAGGGAGCAAGGCCTACACCCCCAAAGCCCAGAGTGGAGAGGCTGAAGAAGAAAGGCGGGAGAGTGACAGGATGCACACAGAGGGTATGGTGGATCTGGGCCTTGAAGGATGGGTAGAATTCCTGTCGGGGATAAGAGGAGTATGATACACACCTGTCAATTGTAGTTGTCCAAAATCTTTTAACAGGCTTTTTTTTTTTTCTGGTCTGATGCTATTCCCATTGACAACCTCCCGTTCTTAATGTATAGTCCCACAAACTAGAGTTCCCCTTGCCACTAGGTGTAGATACATAACTCTCTTTCTCCAGATACACACCCATCTCTGAGTTTGGTTTGGAAATGATCTCTGAGAGGAAGCAGCAATGCCTGGGCTGCCTATTTTGACTGCTGGAGGTGGCAGCAGAGGACAGATATTCCTGCTGTTAGCGGTGGCCACAAGCAGCTTCCTGACAGGCAGACTGGGGGCCACGCAGGTCTGGGGTTGGTGGCAGCAGACCTCCCTCACGAGGCCAGCTCCATGGTGTGGTTCTTGGAGTTGGTCCAAGCTCCAGAGCCCCTGTGTACTCATCTGTGAAATGGAGTCTGTGTGGCTTCTCTCCCCTGAGGTAGCAAGTGTGATGGAGCCTGGAAGGCAATCGTGTGTGAGGCTGTAACAGCGGCGGTAGCTGCAGCTCAAAGGCAGGTTGGAAGGGAGAAAATTGGAATCAGAGAGGGGAAGACAATTTCAGAGGAAAGCCTATACGGAGGAAGCCTCTAGAAGGCCCATATTCATCACCTAAAGCCATATCCAGATGGGCTGGGTGGGTAAAGATCGGCGGTTTGAGGACCCAGGCTTCCTGGTTGTGAGTGGTCAAGGTGAGACTGTCCTCACCGCTTTCCTACCAGCTCCCCTCACTGGCCCTTGCCCCTGGCTAAGCAGAGCAGAGCAAAGTCACAGTTGGATACCTTGGGCCTTTCTGCCTTGAATGAGAGAAAATAGTCTTTGGCTCCAATTAATTAAGCAAACTGATAGAAATTCCCCTCTTAAGTCACACTTTGCATATCCATAATCTCTGCACTGCATTTTCTGTATACTTTACCCCTGGGTAAAAATTGGTGAGCATTTAAATGCTTCCTCACATAATCTTGCTACAGCACATTCTTGCCTATAAATATTCATGCCACCGCCAAAACATTTGCAAGCTTTCCCCAAAGGTGAAATGTGTGTAATGTACTTTGTCTTCTGGGTATAAATATTATCCAATACATTTTGGTTAATATGAATACACTAATTATTCCTGTAACCCTTTTAAAAAGGGTCATCTCCATGATGTGAATTTTTAAAAAATGTAATTACAGTAATTGGATACTTAATCTAATTAAAATTTGCTTTATCTTTAATGAGAATTTTTCTAAAGAGGCAGAATGACAATTGGCTTTTTGATAATGACTGTTTTACTTCTGCAGGGGGATCAAGCTGGTACAAACTGGAGAACCAGGCAGTTTTGAGTCTATCAGTGTCTTTCTCCTGACTCAGTACTTCCATGGTGAATATGGGTTTTAGTTACTGAGTTACTGAAGAGGGTAGAGGAAAGGACTAGAGGAATCTTTTCTATTTCAACAGATAAAGCCGCTCCCCTTCCTAGGAAGCAAACTTGTGCTTCCCTGGACCTGTGATTGGTCCACGATGGGCACTTGATTTAAGCTACTGGATCAGAATCCCTTACAGGGGGCTGGAGCTGGAGCTGGAGGAGCAGCCTCTCCATGCTGCTTTGGGGGCCATGGTGCTGGAAGGAGGAGTAGTGGATCTTATAGGTGTGTAACTCCTACCTCATTGTTCCACCCTTGAGCTCACCTGAAGCCAGTTTCTGTACACAGGTTAGGGTCCTGTGTTTCTCTGTATAAGGTCATTCTCTGGCTTGGGGAGTAGGCTAGGCCTACTGGAGAGCCATCATCCACAGAGCAACTCTCAGA